CTTCCTCACTGGTCAGGTTTAGTCCGAGTGGGGAGTGTCATCCTCATCCTCATCATATGCCCTCTGGAAGAGCAAAGAACTTTCCACCACCAGTGCTGGGAGTGCCCATGTGGTAGCCAAGAAAGACTTGTGGTCATCCCCATCCCACCTCATTCCCATTGTACGTCATCCTCATCCCCATCCCACCTCATTCTCTGTAGGTAAGGGAAGGGTTCTGCACCTGCTATGGTCCCCCCTCCTCCCCCCACTCATGTCAGGTGACCCCCATGTCACCCTCCCAGGTATTAGAGGTCACATGACTTCCCCTTCATCTGCTTCTCTCTCCAGAAGGCCGGCGCCGTCTCTGTTCAGGCCTCACCCGGGGTCACCGTCTACTTCCAGTACTGATATGTCGGCTCCGAGGTGTCACAGTCATGCAGATCCCAGTGCCTGAGCAGTTCTGTGTTCACAAATGTCTGACACAGATCAGCCCCCTGCTGCAGCCTCTGTGACTTGCTACAAAGTGATCACTGGGAGGGGGGAGACTGAGGAAATGCTTCCTCCTGCCTGCAGCAGACTGATCACTGGGGGAGGGGAGACTGAGGAAATGCTTCCTCCTGCCTGCAGCAGACTGATCACTGGGGGAGGGGAGACTGAGGAAATGCTTCCTCCTGCCTGCAGCAGACTGATCACTGATCTCTTCTCATTTCCAGGCGCAGTGATAATGGTGAAGCGCGTCAGCAGTGAGATGGGAGTACCGCCTGTGCACAGAGGTAAGAGGCCCCTCCCATTTAAAGCCTGACTGTCCCTGGCTCCGCCCCATGCGCCATCTTGGCGAGCTGTGTAATATTGCTCAGTGATCTCCGCCATCTTGGCGAGCTGTGTAATATTGCTCAGTGATCTCCGCCATCTTGGCGCGCTGTGTAATATCGCTCAGTGATCTCCGCCATCTTGGCGAGCTGTGTAATATCGCTCAGTGATCTCCGCCATCTTGGCGCGCTGTGTAATGTCGGTCGGTGATCCTCGCCATCTTGGCGCGCTGTGTAATATCGGTCGGAGATCCTCGCCATCTTGGCGCGCTGTGTAATATCGGTCGGAGATCCTCGCCATCTTGGCGCGCTGTGTAATATCGGTCGGTGATCCTCGCCATCTTGGCGATAAAAGACATATGTAGTTCAGTATATATTATATTGAAGGGACGTTGCTATGACAAGACACACCTGTGTGAGAAGCCTGTGCTGGAAGCTGCCATTTGTCAGTGTGGACGCAATGATGTGTCATGTGACTGCAGATCGTCGTCGGTGCAAATTGAGGAAATTGGTTTCATTGCTGTGACACCTCACTAGACCCGTCCTGTGTTCGGGGGTCCGTGACC